GTACAATAATATTTCAGAAGTGTACATGGAAAAATGTCTCTTAGATCCTGAAAATGTTCATGATACATTTCCACATTTGCTTTCAGCCTTTCAGCCTGTCATTGCCTTCAGTTAGGTTCCAGCGAATAATCATGAGTAATGCTACTCACAAACCAAAGGGTAACATTTTTTAAAATGATACTTGATTTCCTTTGAAAAAGCATAAAATCCTTGTGCTTTTAAAATTAGAATGGTATGATGTTAGTATTAGGGTGATGTTGCATTCAATTAATCTTCTGTTTAAGATTAACATCAGAGACTTGCACAGCAAGCCATATGAGGATAGGCTTAGCGACCTGGGACTCTTCAGCCTAAAAGAAAAGGCTGAGAGGGGACCCGGTAGCAGCTTACCATTACATTAGGGGAGTACATCAAGAGCTCAGTGAACAACTGTTCACCAGAGCACCTTGGAGTAAACCAGGAGTAATGGTCACAAGCTCCTGGGAGACTGTTTCAGGCTCAACATTAGGAAAAACTTTTTCACAGTTAGGGTGTCCAAACTCTAGAATAAGCTCCCTCCATAGGTGGTTCAATCACCTACCCTGGACATTTTCAAGAGGAGATTGGACGGTCACCTTGCGGGGGTCACCTGACCGCAGTTGTCTTTCTTGCTGGGTGCAGGAGGCTGGACCCGATGATCTTCCAAAGTCCCTTCCAGCCTTACAATCTATTAATCTTAAAGAGAAAATGTGAAGATTTTACTATACAAACACAGCATTTTATATGGGTCCCCAAAGAGGTAAATATATGCATTTAATTAAAGTAAAATTAATTTATTTTAATAAATAATTGTCTTTAGTGAGAAATCTTAGAGGCATAGTATTTTGTTTCTCTGCTATATGCTGAACACAGCCATCACTAACTAGAATGTCCCAAGAAATTCCATTCCGAAGTCTATATCTTTGGTACCTCCTAAACGTATCAATGTATTTACAACTTTACTGAAAAATTTAAATGCAATTTGTATTAAAACTTTTTATGCTTAATTTCAATAAAAGATTGAAATTTCTTCCCAATGGGCACCAAAAAGTTGTCCCAAAAAAATGGTCTGAGGTAATTCAGATCAGTCAATGTTTAAATCTCAAAACATTCCTCATAAAACCTTTCCAGCCAGGAAAACTGCCTTTAGTACATGCAATTTAGTAAAACTTGGCTCACATTTTTGGGGAGGTGAGGGGATCTTTAAAATGGAACTATTAGAGGTTAAAATGGAGTTGATTTTTTACTTTGGTGATGATAGTTTCTGATGTCACACTTTGTTATTCCTTTAAAACATCTATGTTGTAGATTTATTTCTGCTGCAACCTCCTTTAAACACCATCGATATGAAACTTTAGTGATCTTTTCCACCTGTATACTTTCTCTTCTTTCTAAGTTATAATTTAAACGAAGAGATTTTTTAAAATATCAGTATTTAAATCATCAAATGTTCTTAGACATAGAAAAATCTCTTTATTACATGTATGTAAACTAATTCCTTTGGAAGAATATTTTTTCCTCGCATGTTAGTTTACCCTTATGATAGATATGTTAACTGATTTGCCTTGCAAATTTCTTTTCACTGAGCATGGTTTGCAGCTAATGACTAATGTGCTGATGTGCATCGTTCTTATAAATTTGCATGTGATATATTAGGCTTGAGATCGGGAGAGCACTTAAACATGAGATTAAGTCTTGTTGAAGATAAATATCTGTTTACGAGGTGTCCTGAATACAGATGTTTTTTCTTAATCTGCGTTTTGATTGAAGGTTCAGTTAAAATTTACTATTAAACTACAATTAAACTTACTGTTAGGAAATAGAAATTGAATATACAAGTTAAAGGCCTTATTTCTTTGTCTAGTTCTCCCTACTTTGCTATAAGGCATAGTTTAAGGCCAAATGTACCTTGGTCAAATGTTCTTAGACATAGAAATTAGGAATGGAAAAGTTATAGCTTTAAAGACTAAGATATGTACCTAAACAAGAATTCTTCCTATTTCTAATCTTTCTTTCCACTGGATGGTCCAGGTATCTATCTCCATTTACTCCTGAAAATGGCAAGGATAACAGGTATTTCACAAAATGGTCAATGTAGGGAATGTGGGAACCAGAATTGGATACAAGAAGGCCATTCTTGTTCTCCTTCCCAGTGTAAGCTGTAGTGGAAATTCAAGTCCTGTTTTAAAAACCCCTTCAGCTAATTTTTAGTCTTTTCATTAGCCCTCTGGACATGTAAGGGAAGGTCAGACATGTAGCTGTAGCATGGAATTTTTTCTTCAAATTGCAGAGTGATATTTTACTCCCTGTAGAGTCATAACAATGCGCCCAAGTGCCTAGGCCAGCAGCAATTTACTAGCTAATGCTGTGTTGCTGGCACAATCATGCAGCTGTGGCAGCAGTGGTTTTTCTTTTTCTTTCTTTTTCCTGCTCATCACTTCCAGTCAGCACCTGCGGCAGCTGCCCTGGTTGCCCTGCCTTGGTTAGGCTACTGAACAAAGATTTGGCTCTTATCCCCAAAGAACATTGTTTTTTTCTCTCAAGTCCTGTAGGCAGATGTTTGTTGCAACAGTCAGGAATGCTGTGCATGTAGTTAGTGTCAACATTTGATGGGTTTTTGTCCTGGTGTGTGACCCCCAACCAGTTTGTGTGTTCAGGATACTAAAGCATTTGTGACTAATTCTGCCTTCAGATACATACATGTTCACCATTACCACTAACGGCCATAGAAACAACAGACCACCTGAGCACAAAATTTGACTCTTAGGAATTTTGTTAGAAGTAGTTAGAGGAGTATAAAATGCTTCAGTCCATGTGCCCATTTTTCTTTCTTTCGTTTCCTTTATTTATTTATTTATGTCTTTTTCCCCCTTTTTTCCTTATCTGTTCTCTCTGTGGATTCAAATCCTCGAGTTTCATTTTGAGTTTTAGGGCTTCCAAAAACCTAATAACTTGAAGAGCTCTCAACTGAATCGCAAAGTTTTGCTGGGTATTGCCCTTGACCTGCAAGCAAGCAAAGGCACCTGAAGCCATTAATCACTTCGAGTTGGCTTACATCTCACCCCAGATTACTGCAGGTCTGTGAATTTGATTCAGATTTAAAGCTTTTTGAAAAATCTAAACTTATGCAAGTCTTGGTTAGTTACATGGCCTCCCTCGTTTTGTTTTGTTTTTTCTTTTATTCTGTTTTACAAACCAATTTCCGAATCTTTTGAACAAAAAAAACCACTTTTTGTCCAGGAAAACAAAATGCAGCATATGTGCATTTTAATGGCATGCTTTCATATTTAGAGATTTTGAAATATTGGGCATGCATTCTTTTCTCAGTTTGCATTCTTTTAATTGGGTCGTGTACTTCCATAGCAGCTGCACACCCATATTTGGGCTGTCATTTATGAAGCATTTATTAAGTATTTTGCCCACTGAGTGTACTCCAGATATGAAGATTAGCAATCAGTATTTTTAGAGGCTACTGCAATAATGTCCATCTTTTTATGTGCCTTAACCCATATCAGTAAAATTTAAGTGGCTTTCTTTGTAGACAGACTATTTTCTGTTTGTTGGCATTTTAGGACTATGCCCTTCCAAGGAATAGTTCTCTCAGCTCCAGTTAGTGAGTAGATTCTTAATTAGTGCTCCAGCTCACCATACCTGTAAGTACTGAGGCCCGATAGCAGTGTTTGAACTTTGTAATAACCTAGGCAATTCTGTTCTCCCTGTCCTGGTATAGTGGACCATTTTGATTTGTCTGGGGTAACCTTACCTAATCATTCCTGACTTTTATGCAGCTCTCACTTGTCTTTTGTTTCACCAGATTTCACAATCAGAAACACCAGCCATCCTATCTTTCTTATATATTGCTCCTGTGCCACTCTGCATTTAAAATGAACAATCAGTGCTTGCAAGTAATTGTATATTACTATGTAGATTAAATTAAATGAGACTGAATTCTAAAAAGTAAATTTGTCATTGATGATATGTGCTTAGAAGTGCTAAGTTATTGGTTACAAATGTTCCGTTTGAAAAAAAATGTTTAGCATGAGATAATGCTGTAAAACCAAGAAAGTAGTTTTGTTGATGTGAGAATGTGAGAATTAGTCACTTGTGAAAGTAAATATTCCTGAAAGTAAAATGTGTATATATGCATGAATTAGTGTAGAAGTTGTACATGTAATATATTTTATAGCAAGTTAATGAAAAATTGCAGTAGGAGTTATTTTAGATAGCCATCATTTTGGAGCTTCTAGATAGCAAATGGAATAAATAATGGTAACATTTAAATACTCTCCTCTGTATTTCCTTTGCTTGGGAAGCCATCTGAAAAGATCAGCAACCAACTCCTGGTGTCTTATAGTTTCAGGTGGCCTGGACCTACAGTGAATACCATTTATGCCATTTATTTTGCCATCCATCTTTTTAAACTAATAGTAAAAACTTGCATGTCTGCTGCACTCCTGTCACTTCTTTTCCACTTGTGAATTCACCTTTTATTTCCATGGCTCTTACTGATGCTTTTTCTTCATCTTCTCATACTCAATTCCTCCCTATCTGTGGGAATTTCTCCATTTTGTTTAAACTCTATTGTTCACCATAAAAAGTCCAGTTCTATGGCTGAACAATCCGTCAGCACCAAGAAATATTTTAAACCTTCTCCTACCACCTGTTAAAACCACTTGTACACTTATTTTTCCCCAAAATAATTTCAACAGTTTTTTTTTCATATCATCATGTCTTCCTTGGTCAGAAAGACCAGTTAGAAAAAAAAATACATTTACATCACAAATTTATGTTACCTACAGAAGCAGGGCCAAAGCACTAATTATACCTCTAAAGCCAGAATACGTTTATGCTAGTTGTTGGCTCAGAGGGCCCTGTAACTTTAATTAATTATCCTATTAATACCCTATAGTGCATTAATTTTACTGAAAGATAACAGCTACCTTATCTCTAAGGAAACTGGTCTTGATTTTATTAACTTACAGGACAGAAGAATAATTGGCACATATCATTGTCCAGAAATGTATTCAACAAAGGTATCTTTCATTGTTTTCTCATGTTTTTATCCTCAGAGACTTAAAATTGAGGTCCTGACCATTTGTGGTCACTAAAGATCCCATGGCACTTTTTGTAAGCATAGGCATCTCAACCCCAAGCATTCTGGCCAAATTGCAATTTATGTAACTATATTCTGCTTACCTAACATTCCCACCACCACCCACCCACCCCATAGTTTCAATTGGCGACAGCATTCTTCATTTCCTCTATGAAAATAAAGTGTGTTGTTCTGTACTGTTATACAGTCACCACATTTCACCTGAGAGGTGATTGCACTTCACTGGCACATGAAGTGATTTTTCTTTCTAAAGTTTGGAAAGCGCTTTGGGATCGTTTTGAATAAAAAGTGTATATAGTAAATGTAATTTGTTATCATCTTCTCAGGCTTCAGTTTAGTTACCAAAGTACATTTTATTTAGGGTTGGGCGAACCAGGTAGGTGACAATGACACTCCAAACCATGTCTTGTACCTCACAGTAAACTGTCTTTTACGAGGTTCAATAGCAAAGTTAATTTACTTTTCCTTATTTTTCATTTTTGTGTCCTTTTGCATTACTGGATTGGAAATGAGAGGTCTGCATACCATGAAATATTCAGTTCCTCTGCAATGTTCTGTCACTGTTCCAGATGCAGAAGGTCAGACTAAGTGCTAGTGAAGCACATGAACTTCTGGGTGCTTATCTGACCATTCTACCATTTGGAGGTTCGCCCATCACTAATTTCACTAAATATTGGGTTGTTTGTACTTTTCCTCAAAAAAAGTTGTTGAGGTGTTGGAAACCTCTGCTCCAGCTCTCATTATACAACTGTGCTAAGTTCATTAGAAGACACTTTCCCCTAGGAGGTTAAAATAACAAAGCATGTAAAGCATAATATATTATGGGCACAGATTTCTTTTTTGTTTAGTGATATTAATCCTACTTAACTGCTGCCAATGTAGAAGACTTGCTGTGTTGACAAATTTACCAGGTATACACACACATTTCAATGTTGTTAAATATTTGTCAATAACAACCGTACAAGGACTCAATGCAAAAGAAAAAGATAGCAGTTAACTGGAGAAAAATAAATCTGAATACTGAATACTGTAAAATATTTAAATCCAAGTTAAATTGATCAGATTTTTTCTTGCATTTGTGTGTTCCATATGAAGTATATTCTATAATATTCCATAAAGAACACCTTGTGATCTGATATCAGTACAAGTCAGTGAAATAATACAGTCAGTTTCCATTCAGCTGCAAAGGACTCTAGGTGTGGCCATGTTAGTGGAACCCAAGGTAGATTCTTAACAATTAAGAAGGTTCTTCTCCTTTTCAGTTGAAAAAAATTCACAACCTGCTTTCATTTAATCTTTAGCATGAAATTCTGGGCTACTGAAATCAGTCTCATCTCCCATTGACTTCAGTAGGGCCAGAATTTTACTCCTCATGTCTGAGCTAAGACAACATGGACCTAGTGTTTTAAGTCTTTGCAGCCCCATCTTATGTGCTACTTCCCTTTGTATTGTTAATCATTATTGCAGTCTTATTATACTGTCATACTGATTATACTTTTCTTTATATTCAGAGCCTTAGAGGTCTCATAGGGTATGAGATTATGTGGTGATTCAAACAAAACATATTGCCCCAGAAATCACTGATGTTTATAAGGCTTTAGAAAATTATTCCAGACAAATGTTTGTTGAGAGGCTGGAAGATATTCCATAGACTTGCTTAGAAGTTGTAAGTCTCTGATTTTTCAATTGGGCAGCAGGGAACTAGTTTTTGTCTTATTTAAAAGTTTATAGACTTCCCAGGTATTGTGATGAAATATTTTCTTGAGTTCAGGTTAAATCCATGCAATTTTTTCTGCATTATTTTTTCATAATCACGCTAAAAACATAGACAGGAAATTGTACTGAAGAAGGGTGGGAATGGAGCAATTACTACATGTCAGCTCATCCATAGAAATTGTTTCATGTGTCTGCTTTATTCCATGGTAAGTACAAAGTAATCCATGGTAATCATTTAATGGTGAGCAAACGTAGTTTCCACTTTTAGCATAATACAGCTGACACATGAAACTGTTCCTGTGGATCACCTTATGCATGGTAAATCCACTCTCCCCTCTCCCTTAATTCACTATATTTATCTATATAGTTTTTGAAAGATCATGATTTGAGTTTCATTTTGAGTTGTTAGGTTTGTCCAAAGCAAAATTCAATTGAACTAGAGGGGTGCAAAGTCATTTAGTCTTTACAATTTAAAGGAAAGCCTGGCAAACCAAAATTGTTGCATTTGACACAGTTCTAACACAGATGTAATCACTCAAATCACAGTGTTTCAATAGGTCCAAATAACTTTTATGTAAAGTTGGTCCCCTTGATGTGTATGCTATCAGTTAGTATATGTGTATGCTATTAGTTAAGCTAATATTTAAATACACTGTAAAATGATTGCCATTAAACAGTAATCATTTCTATCCATCCTGACACCATGGCAGCTAAAAGATTATTTTTATTCCCTGAATGTTGGCAAATGCTGTGCTGTGCTATCTCTGACACCACAGTGAGATAGCTGCAAAAATAACGTCAATTTAATATTATCATTGAAAACCTCACAAAAACAGTTATTTTCATCTCCTTTGTACGCATATTGACAGTAGTATATAATGAATACATAATGTGGCTGAATTACTGTTTATTCAGGAAACCATGGGGTAGTGTATCTCTCACTTAAGATGGTATACATCTGGAGTACATCCACTGAAGTCAGTGGAGTTATAACTGGCTCTTCGTTTGCCACTTGTCTGAATTAATCAAAGTATTTGCATATAGTTAACCTTGGTGGTTAAGTAATTCAAAATACTGATGAGCATTACAAGGAAAACCTTAGGTAACCTCATACTTACGGAAAGTTTTTAAGGGACATATTGTACCTCAGATGTATGCCAAGGTAACTAACTGCAGAATTTATCCCTAACCTTTTTGAATGAAGTTTTTGTAGTCACATTTTTAATCATAACATCACATAAATAGGTTTTTCTTCATGGAATTGCCTCATTTATTTGTCTTTTTAAGTGCTCATTGAAACTACTGTGCAATGTAAATTTGATGTGATTACACTCTGGAATAAATACATGGATTTTTTTTGCTTTTAATATTCAACCATCTGCCAGTGTTCTCATCTGATGAAATCTCCCAGTATGCACTGTGCTTTATGAAGTTTGTGAATGTTGGAGAATGGCATTCTTGTCTGTATATTGTGCATATTTGGAGATCTTGTCACAGTGGAGGCTGCCACTTCCTGGAAGAAAAAGAAAGAAAAATCCAACCTCAGTAAATTATTGAGCCCAGATATGTGTGCACAATCTAGAACTCTTGGTTCAAAGATGATTCCTTTTATTAGGTCAACTGAGAAATCAGAAAAAATATATATTTTTCTGCAAGTTTTCTTGCTCACATTCCCTTCATCAGGCTCAGGGAAAATTAAAGATGGTAAAAAGTCCCCATAGGTAGGAAATAAACTTCATTTTTGCAAAGAGGAAGCTGAAGATAGAAATCAGTCCCTCTGGGTCCGTGTCTTTGAGAGTTGTTCTGAGTTGTTCTTTGTTGTGCAGATCAGGCAGGATTCCTTCCCTGGAGGTGTCAAATGGCAAGCAGGGAGGTGTAGAAATTTTTCTTGTTGTTCAGCAATTAAGTTTATTACTCAAAATCGGCTAAAATATGGCATTTTCCATATTTCAGGGAAGTATTTGGTAGCCATGTTAGTCTGAGACACAATTAATGCAAAAATCTAGAACTCTTGGTTCAGAGATACTTTTCAAATGATTATGCTCTACATGCATGAGATTAGGAAATAACCAGCTACCTTGTGCCATCACTCTGTATTCTTTCTACTCTCCAAATCTAAAGTCCAGCAAATACCTTCTATTCAGACATACAGAACAGGCATGATTAGCCTTAGAATATGCAGATTCCTGTTTATAAATATTGTCATCTCACTATTTAAAGGACAGGGCTAAAAGTCCTTTAACTAGATTGGCATCTAGTGGATTTCTTTGACTCTATATTAAGTCTGCTGTCTTATTTCTTACAGATGGATCCACATGAAAATATTTTGTTGAGCACACTTGAAATTAAAAATGAGATGGCTGCCTCTGAGGCTGTTATGGGGCTTGGGGACCCTAGAAGCACTATGCTTGCCTACGATACTTCAAGCATCCAGTACCGGAAAGCTGGCTTGCCCCGACACAGCTTTGGCCGCAATGCCCTGGAACGACATGTGGCACAAAAGAAAAGTAGGCTACGGAGACGTGCCTCTCAACTGAAAATTACCATTCCTGACTTGACTGATGTAAATGCCATAGATCGATGGTCGCGCATATTCTTCCCTGTTGTTTTTTCCTTCTTCAATATTGTCTATTGGCTTTATTATGTGAACTAAAAAACAAAGCCACACAGAAAGCAAGAACTGGATTTCTCTTCAAATCGGTTGTACAGCCAAAAGTGGGACTTAGAAAAATTCTATTCAGGACAAAAGTTATTTTAAAACACCTTAGTTGCTGGCCCACTCTATGGTCTGTTTTCTAACATTTGGGTTACTTCTGCTAAACTGTTAATCTGTTCTTAAGTTACAGTATGAACACATTCCCCCCCATTAAAATATTAGTGCATTTGAAGTGTGGAGGTAAAATTTGATTGTAACGATCATTTCTTTTCTTCTTTTTTTTATATAGTAACATGCATATGAGCTAAAACACACAAGCTATTAAAAAAAGAGAATTTGGAAGACAGGTTTAAGTTTTAACCACTGCTTGTGCCATTTCTTTGTGAAATTGCACACCAAGTACATATGCATCTATAGTTAAAAAGAGAGAGCGTGTTCTAAGATGCTGTCATGCTTATGAAACATACACACTTTTATCTTCTAAAATGTGTAAACTTGAAAACAAGTAGTGCCTATCATCTTACCAGGATGATCATGGTCAAAGGTGTCCCAACTGTATTCAGGTATTTCCTGTTATTTACTGAAAGAACTAAACCTTTGACTGATATTATGAATGAGTCAGGAGTTTGCACAGAAATTTAGAAACTAAAGCCAGGGGGGTTTTTTTATTTTAAAGCAGCAGCATAGGGTGGTGATCACAGTCCATCACATTTGTGATCTAGAAGGGAGCGTGGAAATCAGGTTTAGAGATGGACCAAGCCATCATGTCCTAAACGGGTAGACGTCCTGTTACACTCAACATTTGGGAAAGGGAGTCATTTGTCTGAAGTGCCAAACATTGGTTGAACAAACAGTAACTTTATATGTGGCTAAAGAAGACCATTGGTGCCCTGCCCTTCCAAGGGTAGAAAAAAGGTAAAAGGAATGATTTCCGGATATAGCACTAAGAGAGGGAAAGCTATAAATATATACTGTGCAATTGAATTCTGTCAATCATAGTAAGTATATTAGTCCAAATTGTTCATATGGAGTTGAGTGTTTTCTTTCAAGTTTGCAAACTTTCAAGCTTCACACCTGACGTTGCTTTTATATCTAGCATCTAACATCCAGCAGGAGAGAACAAAAAGATGTATTGTGTCAAGCAGACAATTACAGGAATTATCTTAGCTGTTTTCAGAGTTCAGATTCAGAAGGTTTCCAATCATACATCTTTTAGTACAAAATAATTGGCCAGTAGGATATTTTCTCAAGCTGAGCTAAACAATACTTTTTTTAGTAAACTCAATAAGCTATTTTAAAAGAGAGGATTCAATAAACATTGCTTTAATAGATTGATTATACTTTTCAGCGTTTCCTACTTTAGAAGGTCTAACGATGTCCTTTAAAACTGAAAAAACTAAGTTTTGCTTTAGAAAATATATTTTTATTGAAAAAAAAAGAATAGTTTTTTCCATTTAACTTTATATTGTATAGGAAGGCTTTTCCCAAAAGGTGGGCAAGGTAATAGAATAAAAGTTGCTTATTGTGCCATTTTAGAAAATCTGCCTGTATAATGAAAAATTTAGTCTAGTAACTAAAAGCATCAAGTCCTGACAGATTTTACAGATGTCTTCAGAGTTCAACAGAAGATAGTCACCAGAATAATGGCTATAATCCCTTGTGTCTGTGCTACCTCTCACCTACAGCCAGCCTTCTAAAAGGAACACAAATTACAGCATCCTCTGAATAACAGAGAAATATGCAAACAGCTTCATTTTCCCTATTTAAAGATTCATTTAGAAATACTTTAAGAATTGTTTCTGAACGTTTTTTCATTAAAAACAGATTTTTTTTTCTCTTTTTGCTCTTGTTCTATCCTTTAAAAATTAACATCTCTTTTGGAAATGTTATGGGTTTGTTTTTTTTTAAAGGGGTGAAAAATGACTGGAGAAAAACAGCTTTGAGAATTAATGACCTAGTTTGCCCTGTAATTTCTTACTTCTCTTCTACATTACCACTGGCTTTGCTTCAGAATGAGAAAAATAGCTTTGACTGTTATTTTGTTAAGAACCAGAAAGTAAGGTATGCTAAGCATTTACATTTCTAGTTACCATCAAGGCAATTGTGTGTACTCAGCACTGCCTCTAGGGTCAAACACCGAAATGTGTGTAGAGTCAAACTTTTGATCATATGATAGCTTTTCCATGATGAAAGTTGCTTTATCATTCACTGATTTGATTTCTGAGGGCATTTCATAAATAAAAACAATATATTTTGTAGGTGTATTTGAAGTTACCCTTATACATGAATCATGTATGCAAATTCCTCCCAACTTCTAAGAAAAGGATCCAGTCCAGAAATCAGTAATATTCTTTGAAGTCTGTTCTTTAGTTTTGGCACCTTTTATGATTAATCCAGTTTAATATTATGTTAGACATTTCAAGCTCTTGTGTGCAAGATTTCTTTTCACTCTTTTCACAAAGAGCCTTTTACTTTTTATTTCATAGAAACATAATTTGAATACAGGAGGCATCAAGCACATATGTGGTAGGCACACCTCAAACATAAAACCTAACAGAGAATATGCTTATTTTCTGCTTTGGTTTAGCAGATCAGCTGTAGTCAAAACCATGGAGCTCAGATCCTAATACTGCGCATTAATGTTTCTGAAGTTACAGTACAAGCCATAATACTCTCTGATGATGTTATTCAGGGAGTGAAATGAAATGTCTGGTTTCTGCTCAGGTGTCATTTATGAAGGATATTTCAAAGGAGGAAGGAGCACTTTAACTTCCACATGATCCTGTTGACTTTTAATATTCTATATCTAAAACAAACGTGGAAGGATCCTTCCAAAATTGAGCAGTTACATTTTGTACTAAGGCTAAACACTGTGATGTGAATAAGGTAAAGGTAAGAAGAATGGACAAGACCTTGGTATAGAAGAACCAGAACCTAAGAAGGCTTGATCAATTACTCTTCTTCTTGGGTCACCTGTATGAAAGCGATAAATTATGCCAGCATACAAAAGAGGTGGATTTTCTTATGTGTACTACCCTGTAAGTGGATTAGAATAACTAACCTTGCTTTTACCTTAGAACTGACCTGAAGTGAATATTATAGATCCTTTTGCTCCTTTCCACTGTTAGATTCACTAACTAAAATATTAAATTAAAATTTAGATAATTTTTGTAATATAATTACACATTTTGTTGTTTCATTATGCATAATAGCCAGCAATTAAGGTGTTTTTCATCTTTGTGAAATTCATGGGCAAATTATGACTACAACATGGCACAGTTTTAATGAAATCTTTGAGATCAATCTGTAAATATATACTGTATATGACTGCTAGTAAGAATGATATGCATTTTCAGAACTGAAAACTCATGCAACATATTTCTGTGTTTGCATAAGGAATGTTAAGTTTCTATCCTACTGCGGTTTAACAACTGGGAAGAAAGACTCAAGCAATGTCATTCTGAACATTTCTTTTATCATTCCTGGGGTGGGAAAACAGGGTCTTAAGTAATAATGTGTTCAAGATTACTTCAGAGAGTTATAATACAAAGTACATAAAATCTGTCAGGTACAAAAGCACAATGCATAGAGAAAGTGAAGGGTGGGCTTATACCTGGGGACAAATCCTCTTTATTTTAGGCAAAATGTGTATAAAAATTAGAGCTCAAATAATTTTCACTATTATATTTAACTATGGTCCAATTCCATAATTAACACAGTACTGAACACAAGTGAAACAAGCAAGTGTTAAACATTATCCAATTATATTCGTATATAGACATTACTGTGTCTATTTATGCATATGTGTGTGTGTGTGTATATACATATATATACATATACACATACATATACATACACACTCAGTGTGTGTGTGTACACACACGTGTGCACACATATACGCACACACATACATTCATATGTGATGTGTTAAAGGAATAAGCTAATAAGTTCTGTTTCTACCATCAACCAGTATATGAATAATTTTTGAGAAAGCAAATTATTATATTAAAAAAAAAACTAACTATACAGGGTAACTGGGCATTTCTATATCAGATCAATGCATATAATTCGTATGAAGCATTGCACAGTTTGACATTATGATAGTACTGTACCTCCTAGCATCTGAAGTTAGAATAGTCCTCACATTGCTTGCCTATTTCTTCTCTCTTTTTTTATAACAGCATTGTCCACTAGTAACTTTTCAAAACAAAAGTCCTAAGGACAGCAAGAAAAAAAGCAAAAATATTAAATATTTCTAGAACAGTAATATAGGGTGGGATGGCCAGGGTACAATACTATAACAGTAGTGATCATAACATTTTGCTATGTGTACATAGAACATATAATGTGAGCAACCATAATTTAAGCTGAACGTCTGTAAATATTATCAGATTTCTTAAACATTTTTAACTTCTAATTTGTACTTTATGGTAAGGCAAAAAGCTGATTCTATTTATGGTTTAGGTTAATGTGTTCTAAAATTATGTAAATAATTAAATAAGCTGTAAATGAGCAGTCAATAGATAAAGTAATTGTTTAGTGACTTTTTTTTACTAAGTACAATAATTGCAGTGCTCTAGCAGAGTAATTTAAACACCCTTTCGCATAAACAGATTTGGATTCCAGGTAAGAGTTTTAATATAAAAAATAAGAGGCAGTACTGTGGTGTAAAATAGCCATTGCAACAATGTTACTGCTAGCATAACAGGTTCTTTTGTATCATTAAAAAGTTTCAGCAACTGAAGAATGTAGTTCAGCACTCAGTACTCAGATCAAAAGAAAAATATATCATCTGATTTTCACTTGCACTATAGCTCCTGTAAAGTACTCTAGCGAGTGGAGTTATAAAGGAGCATTAAGGTAAATGAAAATTTGGAAAGTGTCTGTCTGTTCCTAAAATCTGTATCCCTTATGCTATGTATTACTAGACTTTAATAAAAAAAATGTTTGACTGTCATTAGATAGCGTAGTGCCCCAAAGCCAAAGAATCTTCATTCCAGAAATTGTTTAAAAGGGAAAACTAGTAAGTCACTGCTTAACACCAAAGGTAAAGTTTAATAAAATGCACTAGGAACTTTGTCTAAATTTTTAGGAAGAAAATGGAATGTTAATCAAAACTACTGCCCTATTCTACTTTGTAAAAATAACAACACCTTAAATATCCATTATTAATGCTAAATTGAAATAGATCATCTCTGCAAGTATATGCAACAAAAACAACTCGTATGTATCAAATATTTTTTTGTAAGTGCTTTGACAATGAATAGAAAAATGAATCTGAAATGATGGAAATCTTATATTTCATGCTAGGTTTTGGTTTTCTT